CTGCACCTCTAGAATACATTTTTATTTATATATATATATGCTTATATCTGTACATTTATATCTATATATTTATGTTTATATCTCTATATATTTATGTGTGTGTGTGTGTGCATGTAAGAAATTACGGTACCTCTATGGGCCCTTCCACACTTTACATTGTTAACCAGAGCTTGGGAAAACAGAACAAGGATCTCTTCAGTTCATCGAGGGCACTCAGAGTAGCCAGGGTAGACCTGCACCCGTGAGTATTTCATCATAGCCCCCTGCCAAACATTACATATCGTACACAATTTACTGGTGAAACGCCCAATAAATGTAGACTGGGCACATGTGCAGAGCCAGACCGGAGACGCTTGCAAACTAATTATCACTATGAATTTGTCATTCATCCAATAAACTCACATCGGCCACCTGTGCAAAGTAATTCTAATGCCACGGACTGCTCCACCATGCCATTTATTCACACCGGCCGCGTGTATAAAGAAATGACCGTGATAGAAAAATAGCCATCCAGATACAAAAAGATTTAGCCAGCTACGACGTTGGTGCTTGAAACAACTCTGTAGCTGGTTTCTAGCCATCTTTCATGGGAAAGGCAAGCTGCTTGGTTACTCATTGCATAGCGTACAGCTGCAACTCGCGTCATTCGCTGCTCAGGCATGTGCTGGCTTGGCCGCCTGTGTGGTCAGTCACCGGCCACGTCTGCAGCCTCCAGCATCTCTGTCCAAGGTGGGCTATCGCAGCTGCGTGGCTTCGATGGAGATCAGGTCTGGGATGGGGGAGAGACCGTCAGGGAGTGATGTCTCCTACTCAGCCACCCATCCGTCCGTCCAATCGTCTCATCCACCCGTCCACCGATCTAATCTATCAGTCTTATCCATCCATTATCCATTGATCCAATCCATTGACCTCATCCATCCATTAGTCTAATTCATTGACCTCATCCATCCATCCATCCATTGATCTAATCCATCCATTCATCCACTGGTTTAATTCACTGATCTAATTCATCCATCCACTGATGTCATCCATCCATACACCTATCCATCCATCCTTCCCTCTAGCCACTGATCATATGCATCCATCCGTCCATCCATTGATCTAATCCACTGAATTTATGTATTCATCATCCACCCACTGATGTAATCCACCCATTTTATCCAGCCACCCTTCCCTCCACCGTATCCATCCATTATCCATCAGTCTAATCCAGGGGTGCGCAATTACTCGGGCTGCAGGAACACTTAACGAGTTTTGGTGAGCTGTTGAGGGCTGCACACACAAACGTGCCCCCCCCACCTGGAGCCAGCACCCGTTGGCTGCATCCGCAACTGGGGAAGCAGGGGCTGGAGGCTGGCCGCGGGCCTCCGCACTGTCCCACCTGCCACCAGGGCTGCTGGCACACGTGCACCTCCTCCACCTTGCAGTTCCCATCCATCCCCCGACTGACCATTTCCATCCTCCCCCACTTCCTCCCTACCCTCTTAGCCCCTTCCCCTGTCCCTGCTCTGGTCCATCCGCACCCCTGCCCAACACCCCCATGTTTCCCGGCCTCCCAGCCAGCTGACCGGGGGGGGGGTCGGACCCCCGCTGCTGTCCCTGCACCAGCCCACGCCCCGTCTTACCATGGGCCTGCCACAGTGTCGACTCCAGCTCCTTCTTGTTGATGAGAGCCATGATGTTGGCAGCCACCTGCAAGGCGTAGGGCTCCAGGAAGTGGCCGCGCAGCACCCGGACAATGTCCAGCGCGTCGGCGCTCTCCAGCTCGCTCCACAGCACCGGCTGGAAGCCTCCCTGGGGCTTATACTTGTTCAGTTTGACCTTGAACTCCTTCAGCTCTGCCTTGCCCAGCTGCTTCAGGCTGGACTCCAGGTCTGCGCACCTCCTGTCCATGCTGGCGGGGAGGAGATGGGGTGAGAGGCTGTGGGGCACGGGGCCTCCTCTGCCCCACACCGCCCTCCCCTGCCCCGGCAGCTCTTGCCTGCCTCGCGCCCCGCACACCCCCGCCGGCTCCGCGGGCCCTAAGATGCTGGGCAGCAAGCGCACTTTGACCAGGGTGGTTTGCGCAATGGCTTCACGAGCCGGGGAAAGAACAAGCTGCATCCTGTGCCGAGCTGCAAGAGGAAGTTTCGGCCCCGGGGGCCTTGCCCAGGACCAGCGGACCTGCGCACCCAGGCCCCCACGCACCCAGGGCCTATGGGACCCTGACCTCTCACCTAGGGACCCCCAGTCACCGGGACCTCATGAATATGGATTAGCAATGGGGCCAGCCTGGGCAGCTGCCTCGTGTCCATTAATAGCTTCATGGTGGTGCAGCTCATGAATATTCATTAGATCAGGGAACCTTTTCTCTGTGTCCCCCCACCCATAGACTTAATGGTCTCTCCCACATGGCCCCTGCAATAGACCTAATGGTCTCTCCCATTTTCCCTTCCAATGGTCTGTCCCATTGGTCCCCGGCACTGGGGTTCTCTCCCAAGCCCCCCTCCCCATAGAACTAATGGTCTCAACCGCGTGCCCATCCCCCCGCACTGGAGAATGATGTCTCCCATATCCCCTACATTTAATAGTCTCTCTCAAGTTCCCCCCGTAACAGTCTCAACCGGATGCCCATGCCAGCCCTCTAACTGTCCTTCCCATGTGCCCCCCCTGCACTGACGAATGGTCTTTCCCAAGCCCCACCACCCCATAGAACTAGCGGTCTCAATCGTATCCTCCTCTTCCCCCATAGAGGTAATGGTCTCTCCCACGTGCTCCCAGGGACCCGGGAGTCCGCCCCGCCCCTCTTAGACCGCAGAGACCCCGCCCCCGCCGTGGGGCAGGGGGCGGTGCCGAGAACCCAGCTCTGTACTGCGCATGCGCACTCCCGGGCTCTTAGGGCGGGATCGCGGGGGAGGGGGGAAAGGGGCGCGGTAGCGCTCTCAGCGGGGATTGGCTAAGAGGAAAGCCGGCGGGTCGTGCCTATTGGACTGATGAACCCCTCCCCTTCCCCTGAGCCGGGCGATCTGATTGGCTACGCCTCGGGTTGCCGTGGCAACGCGTCCGGAG